GAAAAGGTGACTAAATGTCAGATTTCATATCAGTTTGACTTCTGACAGACGAGCAGTCCCGGGCAGCAGCTTAGACACTGATGGCAGGGTTATTGATGAAATCTTATTGAACAGTACAAGTGTTGCTCTGTCAGTCTCTTTGTGTTGGATTGATTTAGTGACCGGCTGGATTTAAGGAGAAAGCAGAGTTTCTCTCTACGATGCTTTTGTGCCCCTGTTCGCTCATGTATGTGTGTGTGTGTGTGTGTGTGTGTGTGTGTGTGTGTGTGTGTGTGTGTGTGTGTGTGTGTGTGTGTGTGTGTGTGTGTGTGTGTATGTGTATGTGTATGTGTGTATCTGTGCGTGAATCGGAAAACATTAATCTGTGCATCTCTGTGGCTTTTGCTCTATTTTGCACGCTCACCAACATCTGCGTCGTTTAATCTCGTATTTTTCTTCTTTTCTGAGTCATACACACGTATTTCTTTTGTTCTTCCCCCGGGGTGAAAGTGAAGTTTTCTTGGTGTTTAAGGTGCATTTTCAACGAGGAGAGGGTTGATGGAGGAGCGAGGGAGCTGAAAAAGCAGCAAAGACAGGCGAGGAGCTGAGACAGAGAGGGAAAGAGAGGGAGGGGAGGAAGCAGGGAGGAGGAGGAGGAGGAGGAGGGAGGTGGCAGGTTGATTACGGTCGCAGGTCTCGTTGCCTGGAGACGGCGGGGACCAGGGATGCCGGGTTGCTAGGCGACCGGCACGATGCAGTGACCAGCGCTGTGTGATGGAGCGGAGGGGAGGGCGGAGAAGGGAAAATTGTCTTTGTGCCCCCACTTCTCCCTCAACCCCCTTCTAACACCCCACCCGCCCCACCCACCAACACCCCCCACCCTCTCCCTCCCTTACACACACACACACACACACACACACACACACACACACACACACACACACACACACACACACACACACACACACACACACACACACACACACAACTCCCTGCTGTAAATGTTCTTGAAAGAGCAGGGGAGATGGTCTGTGCAGATATATTTACCATTCAGAGTGGCTGCTTTTCAGGGCGGACGAGCAGAAAGGATTGAGATTGAAGAGTAAAACAGGGGACAGAAATGTGTCACAAACACACACCAACACACACACACACACACACACACACACACATACAAAGCCTGAATCTATATAGACTTAACAACAGCGGCTGCTTTGAGCCGCGAGTACAGAGATTATGATCTGCTCTGCTGGCCACAAAAGAAAGGCGAGAAAAAAACATCATCATCCGTACGCTTCACTCACTCAAAATGTAAACGATCCTCTATTTAAAATCCCATCTTCTGTTTATTAAATGAGAATGTTATGTACATCATGGTGGGTGCCGCTCCTCTGTGTGTGTGTATAGATATTGATGTTTATTTAGAAGAGGGAGGGTCAAGCTTTATAGCGAAAGGGGTCGAGCTGTGATTTGATTGGATAATCTATGGATTTAATATCTCATAATCCTGGTGAAATCCCCCGTGGAGTCATAGCTGAAAGATTATGTGTGGATGTTGCTTTGACCAACAGGGGACAGAACGATCATGTGTGTCCGTGTGAACAACAAATATGTGTGTGTAGTTGTCGTTGTAGCGGATCGTATATGCACATCTATGGTTGTGTGTTTTCAGATGAAGAGCAAAGGGGAGAAAAATAAATGGAATAGTAAAAACACATTTGTGCTGTTGATCAGACAGGCAGGTTTGTGTCCTGTTGTCTGTGCACAGTATGGGACTGTTTTTGTAAACAAGCCTCAGAGAGAAAAGGGAAGGGTAGGGGAGCAACAGGAGGAGGGGGAGGGAGAGAGAGAGAGTGAGCAAATTACAGTAAAGTGTGTATATGTTAGTGGTTCAGGCTTAGAGGGAGATATTTTTCTCTCTGCTTCTGCATCTGCTCTCAAGGCAGTGCCAGCATTCAACAGGCACAAATGCTACCTCCATCATCCTTCTTTTCCCCTCCCTCTTCCTCTTCTTCTCCTCCTCCTCTTCCTCCTCCTCCTCCTCTTCCTCACCTTTCTTATCCTTCTATCTGTCTCCCTCTCAACCTTAAAAGCACCCTTTGTCCTCCTCATTTTTACCCCCCCCCTCGGTGTGTCGTTCAGTGCAACCTTGTTTACCTGATGTGTGGTTCCTCATCATTGTGGTTGCCATGACAATGGCCATGCCGAGCGAAGGCCTTCGTCACAGCGACAGGGGCCGGTTGCCGTGCCGATGTGAAGTGGTGCAGCCTTGATGGCCTCCACTTCTCGGTGTTTCTCCCCCCCCCCCCTTGTGTATTCTAATTCCAATCTCCTGAGCCATCTGCTGCGCTCCTCCTTATCTCCAGCACCACCTCTGCCTGCACTGTTTGTCTTCCTGCTCTGAAATATGAGCCAGGCGTCACTCAAACATGGTATCAGTCATACATGTCACATTAAAACACTGTGATGAGATTGTAGCTTCAGCTTTGAGTCCCCATGATATTTCACTAAAGGAGTAACCATTTATCTCTGTGGTAGAAAAACAGCTGACCTTTATTATATTCTGAGTCTGGCTGTACTAAAGATGTTCAGAACATTTTGTATTTCTCTGTATGTATTGTGCAATCGTTGTATAGCATGCACACAGCTCAGTAAACACCACGAGGACAGAAACATGTTCCTATTATCAATTCAATCAATCAATTTTTATTTGTATAGCGTCAACTCATAATAAGTGTTATCTCGAGACACTTTACAAAAAGCAGGTAAAAAGACCTTACTCTTTGTTATATTAATATTATATATTATATAAGACCCGGCCTATCCATCATGAGCACTTTAGCAAAGCAGCAAATTATCTGTAGTTTATTTCTTACAGGTTTTAGAAAACAGAGTTTTGGTGTATACTAGTTTTGGAAGAAGTGATCCCACACAATTTCTTTTTTATATACTTACATTAGAAAATTTGACCAATGCAGCATCTCAAACCCTGTGATATGACATCTTGTATAATGTTTTCAATTCACTGTCTGCCATCAGTAAAAGAAGAAAAAGGCTGCATCCATCAGGCTTGATTTTATGTGTCCATGTACACATTTATAAAACATTTTTACTTTAAAAAACGATTTCAGCCCAACTCCTGAAACATTTATTTTAAAATATGGAATGTGCTTTCGAATGAAAAGTACATGTAACATCTTATGAGCATCCTGACTTTAATTCTGAGGTGACAAAAAGCGACAAAACACACACAAGTACCGGTACATAAAAAGTAGACACATAATGGGAGGTCAAGATTTGACTCAAAATATCCTATCATGAGTTTAACATACACACAAGTACAAATATAAATGTTAAAATAAATGTATAACGAGAAGGAATAATTCAACAATTAGCCTAAATAGTAAGAATATGGATTTGATCTCAATACGAAGCATAAGAATATACTATATATGAAATATTGCATTCTATACAGGTTGCTATATGTCGGCTCGGTCAGTTTCTGAGTGCATGTGGCATAAGAAGTGAGTTATATAGCAGTAAAAGGCCGACGTCATACATTATATGGACCCTTCCTGTGATATTGAAGTGAGTTCTTTTATTTAAAGCTCCAAACATCAGATGGATTGTAGTGTGTCGGACCTGTCAGGATGATGGTGAGCTACAATTGAAACAATAATTACTATTCTGTAAGTGTGGGAGAAGGAGGGCAGATCTGCCTGACTGATTGGATGATGGTTTTGAGACTTTGCCCCCTCCAGCTCCTCCATGGTTTCTTTTAATTGGTCAATCAATCGGATGCTCTCAGAGAGGAGACGCAGGGTTCCTCTCTTTGCAGCAGGTGTTTTCGTTTGTGGAGACGGGTCGGTGTTTGTGCATGCGGCTCCTGCCATGCGGAGCGTGAACGCAAACTTTGATCAATAATGTCTCCTGGTGACCGATCACAGCAGATCAATCAGTGACACGGGATCAGTGACTGGCTGAAATGTCACCAGCTCCATAATTAAGACCTTCATTAAGCCAGAGTTAACAGAGTGTCACTCTGTAGCTCTCACCTCCTCCTCCTCCTCCTCTTCACACACTCAACCCCCACCTCCATCTTCTCCTCCATATGCCTCTCTCCTTCCCCTGTCAATCCCTCTCAATCCCCATGTTTGCATGTTTGCCCTCTCTTATCCTTTTTTTATTCCATTCAGTACCTTCTCTTGTGCCATATACATATGAAAGAGACGCGTGGACAAAAGATGCGTGCACATTTTTACAAAGAGGTTTTTTTAAGTAGTGAAGAGCACAAAAATAGAGGAAAGAAAAAAAAGGCGTTTTGGCATTTACAAAAGTAAATTGTGAAAAGGTCACCTAATCCTTGTGCCCTCTGTTTTCTTTTCCATTCTTTGTTTTTTTCATTTCTTCCTTTCCAAACATGTATACCCCCTCGTCCCCCCCCCATCTCTCTGTCAGGCTCACTCGCTCACTATTCCACTGCTGTGTGCTCCTGTAATCCAGATTAGCCGGCGAGTGTGCTTAATCTTATCACTTCCCCAATCCTGCGTGGGTGTGTGCTTTTCCCGGTTTTGTGTGATAGGGGGGAGAAGGAACGATAGGCAGCGGGATTAGAGCAGTTTCTGAGACTGACTTGGAAAGAGGAGGTGGTAGAAGAGAGAGAGAGAGAATGTGAGATTGTAAAATAACACATATCATTGTCAGCTGTGGTCTACGGCAACAACAACAAAAAAAGAAGGAGAGAAATTAGTTGGGGGATTGAAGGACGATGGAGCACCTGCCAAATACACTCACATTCATACATGCTGCTAGCTAATGTCACTATTACCTAATATTACAGCATTAATCGTATTTCTAAGGACGTTACATGAAACGGGTAAAAATGAATGTCATGTCTTTTCCAGTTTCAAGACAGTAGTGGCTTTGTTTTTATATACCCCCCTGTTCTGTTCTTGTGTTAATGATCATCACTCGTGTCCTGTACTTAAATTGACCGTGCTGTGTTTTGCTTCTCTTTCCAGATGAACCGTCCAATCCAGGTGAAGCCTGCAGACAGCGAGAGCAGAGGGGGTAAGAGACACCTGTCCCCACCTAGAGACATAGCACCTGTTCAAACAACACCACCACAGTGTAAACAAAATAAAAACCTTTAAGTCCTGAATCCACATTTAAAACATTAAGTTGCAACCAGGCAAAAAGGTTTTTGTTCTATTTAAGTGACCATATCTTTAAGTGACACCATCCAAATCAAAGACATTGTCAACTGATGAACATTTCCAGAAACCACGGCAACAACAATAACAACAACAACAACAACAAAGAAAACACTGAAGATGTCATCGTGGGCTCAACAGCTTCATACTCAAACTACCCTGGATTTGATCATCAGTGTTATCAAATGATGAGAAGTATCCATCTGCCCTGATGTGTAATCGATCAGAATAGTATTACATTTCAACAGATGTAATATTTGTGACCTCCTTTTTTCTTTTACACTTTAAAGTCTCCAAAAACATTAAATTATAATTCTTAGCATTTGCACATTTAAAGGTCTAAAAAGCAGACTTCTGATTTAAATTTGAGTTGTGTTCGTCCTAAATGTTTGCATATTCACAATTTGAGACATCTGTAGTTATATACATAAAAACTACAACAGGAGTGATAAGAGACGTTGGCTAATATCACTTACAGCTATTGGATTAACAATAAATAACATTACAGAGATAATCATAATTTATCTGTTTTTTACATGATTCCTGCCCCAGTTCCCATCAAATAGATTTTATTCCTGCATCATCGGCTGTTTAACGATGAAGAATTTATTTTTGTCAAAATGGAGTTAAAGGATGCATTGCTGCATGTATGCACGGGGTGATGACAAAAACTCTTTGTGCTTCACATATGACATGTCATAAAGTGAAAATCTGAGGTGTTAGAAATAAAATAAAAGATGGCTGAATGCCACCTGGCTGCTGAAGGTACATGTCCTTGTTTTGTACACATGATGCTCACTGTCACACTGTCTGAGTCATTGTTTATGTTATTAGTGACACCTGTGTATTTCTTACTATGATATGTAAAAAAAAATATCCGCAGGAAAAAAAATGTGTATTAAAGATCAGTTGACGTTTTGAGGACACATTTTAAGAACTGTCTGTGACAAACCACTAAAAAGAGCCATGTGAAATCAAAAATACACATGTAACACACTTTGACATGACAATTCTGCTCAAACATTTTTCAATTAAGGAGCTTTTTGTTCCCTTTATTTCATCTCAGTATGACATTGAGGTGACAGACACCTGATAAAAAATCACATCTTAAAAGTCTGCTGTGAAAACACAACTTTTCATACAAGATATTAGCACATTTGTCTCTGCTTGATTTTTTTTTTTTTTTATTATCGTCAAATTATCGATACATTTCATGCTATTGTGCTGCCACCTTTTAATATTCTACACAATATCATACCACATAGGCAGAGTTGTCTCAACTGTATATCTTATTATCATCATATTATATGTGCAGAAATCTACCCAAACAGAAAAAAAAGAAAACATGCTCGCTGTGATTGACGCTTGGTTGACAGTTGATTTTCATAGCATGGCAGCATGAATGTTTGGGAAAATACAAACCCATAAACCCATGAAGCCATTATTGTTTGGTGAATAGTCTGCAGGAATGTAAAGTGTTTGTGATTTGTAGTGACTGGGCTAAAACATGCAGAAACACTGGTCTGATCCTTTACAGACGAGGACAGACGGAGCAGCTTCTCTGACAGCACAGAGGGTGACAAACATTTGAGTCACCGCCAGATGCTGTTTGTTTGTTGTGATGTCCTTGTTACTGCCCTCTGGTGGCACTCTGAAGAATAGCAGGCTGACATCTACCCTTGCTTAGTACAGTAGCTGTTGTTGATCTATTGTTAGTCGTGCATGTTCAGTGACACGACACTTCTCCATTTTTCCCCCCTTTTGTCACCTCTTCCATGAAAACATTCACTCCCCCCCGCTGAAATCTCATCCACATTCTCCTGTGTCTTCCTCTCCTCTCCCACCATCATGGAAATATCCTTCCCCTTAGAAGACAGGAAGCTGTTTGTGGGCATGCTGGGGAAGCAGCAGACGGACAGTGACGTGAGAAAGATGTTTGAGCCCTTTGGGAGCATAGAGGAGTGCACGGTGCTCCGGGGGCCCGACGGCACCAGCAAAGGTAATGTGTCACAAAAACACATCAGAGAAATGGATCACACCCTTAAATACAACATGATGACTCATTAAACAGACACAGCAAATACAGAATATAACAAACTCTCTATGTCACATCATCTTTTAAGCTTTTCCAAATACTAAACCGTGATTATTTAAATTATTTAGATCAAAAAGAATGAATGAACACGACCAGTATCTAACCTAGAGTGTCCTCAAACATCTGTTTTCTGGTCTTTATACTCAGGCCTTTGCTATTGAATACGGACCCCATAAACAGCTGTTTTATTTGTTTATGTTATTTTAAGTTCTTTATATTTTTAATTATAGTATTGATTACAGGATAAAGGGAACACTTTGCACCTTTATTTTATTTTACGCAGGCACAATCCCCTTCATACATTTATAAAGAGGTAAGCAAATTAAGTAGAAAGTAAAGCAACAAATGAGGTGCCAAAACACACAATACATAAATCTGAATACAAACTACAGAATTGTCCCAGAAGTGTCTGGTATCTGTCGTCCATATATTGTAACCCTGAGGAGACCCCTCCTCCCTGTGACTGACAGACGTTCAAGTTGGCGTACATACAACATGCTATTTCTTCCATTGCAATTACCTGTTTAGCTAATTACCACATGTATCATTGGTTTCCTCTGGTTTTGAATGTGCACATATCAGAGTGGGCGTAAAGAGGTGCATTACATCATCTGAAGGATTAGACTTGTGTTGTGAGACCATAATTAAAGCCTTACCTGTCACATCTGCAGACATGTTATCCTGAATGTTTATATGTTTATCATTTTAAAGCCCTTAGCCCGATTACATGCTGATATTATCATGTTTCCATTTCTACAATGGTCAAACACATCTAAAAGGTGGGGAAAGGTGCTTAATGCAAAACACATCCAAGTTTATTTTTTATCAATATATAGAGATATTTATTCTCATTGGCATAATAAAATGTTCATTCATCACTCTTGGGAAACATCTGATGTCATGCAGCCCTATTTTGGGGGGATTTCTGCTTTGAAAAACTTAAATATCTGCAATAAGATCTCATTTTTAAGGGTAAATGTTTGTCAAAGTTAGTATAATGATGTGCACTAATAAAGCCTTATCCTCTTCTCTTTTCCTTTTTTAACCACGTTCCTTTCACTCAGGTTGCCTTAAGCTTTCAAATATCTTCAATATAATTTCTCCTGCTAATGGAGTCCAGATTGTGACCGTAGAAAGTGACATTGACTGGAACTGTTGGTATTTTAACCAACAGTTAAGCCCGGGGCACCTCACCACGGCTTGAATGTAAATATCTACTATCGCTTACAACGATGCTAATGACATTTGCGTGTTAATCAAAGTCCGGTGACAGTTCAAACACAGATGCTGGATTTCTCTACGTTTGTTGCACGAGTCCTGACTAATGGTGCGAGAGGTTTTATGGGTCATGGCTAATGATGTGTTTGGTGGTTTGCCGACTGTGATTGATGAAGCAATGAATGTCATGTGGACCATGTTTAATGATGCCACGGTAACTGATGAAGCACTAGATCTAAAACGGCTCCTAATGTATTTTTAAAGGGAAGTAGTTTCTGTTTTATGTGTGTGTGTGTGTGTGCGTGCGTGCGTGCGTGCGTGCGTGCGTGCGTGCGTGCGTGCGTGTGCGTGTGTGTGTGTGTGTGTGTGTGTGTGTGTGTTTGTCTGTCTGTCTGTCTTTGTGTGTGTGTGTGTGTGTGTGTGTGTGTGTGTGTGTGTGTGTGTGTGTGTGTTGGTGGGGAATGCCGTTTAATTGTGTGTCATTTCTTTTAGGTTGTGCATTTGTAAAGTATCAGAACAACGCCGAGGCCCAGGCCGCCATCAACGCTCTGCATGGGAGTCGTACTTTACCTGTGAGTCCCTCCCTACACACACACACACACACACACACACACACACACACACACACACACACACACACACACACACACATAGACAGACAAACACACACACACACACACACATAGACAGACAAACACACACACACACACACACACACGCACACAAAGACAGACAAACACACACACATACACACATACACACACATTGTCAAACATGTACTTAAACACACACATACACACACACATTGTCTAACATGTATTTAAACATACACACATTTCAACGCTCCAGATTCAGTCATTTAGACACTCAGCGGGGTGACTCAGCTAATAGTCACCACTTCTCTTTTTCTGTCCCCCTCCTCCGCACCTACACACAAAACACACACATACACGTGCTCAAGCACACAGACATACACACGCATGCATGCACACACCCAATTTCAATTGTTCTTTTCATTTAAGTATTGTGAATAACATTCCATTTATCTCTGGTGAATACCACTTTGTTCAGTTCAGAGCTGAATGCTAAAATGTCCTTTTAGCCAAAGATTTTTGCATTTTCTGCTGTTTTCATTTTATCTGAAGGCAGACGAAGTTAGAAGAGGGGTGACTTGCAACCAAAGTCTTGAACTAGTACAATAAGGAAGTCGTTCTCAGCATCTCAGAGCTATATACTGAGAGCTGGTGTTAATGTGAAATGTGTCAGACAAAGTGTAGTTGTGTGTGAGACTAGATTTTGAGTTTTTGTCTGTTTCCTCCTCAGGGCGCCTCATCCAGCCTGGTGGTGAAGTTTGCAGATTCAGAGAAGGAGCGGGGGCTCAGGCGGATGCAGCAGGTGGCCTCGCAGTTGGGTGTCATCAGTCCCATGACCCTGCACCTCGGGGCCTACAACGCCTACACACAGGCTGTGAGGAAACAGACACACACACACACACACACACACACACACACACACACACACACACACACACACACACACACACACACACACACACACACACACACACACACACACACACGTATAAACATTTCAAAGGGAAATACACACAACAATTCATGAGGGCAAGTGTTCCTTTAAGTGTTGCTGAGAAGGTTTTTTTTTTTTTTTTTTATCCACTTTTGAAGAATTTTGACATAAAATACAAAGTAAATGAGGCTTCATCTTTCACTGTTAGTCCATAAAAAATAAATGACATGACTGGGGATTTGACATGACGAGCTGTCAGCAAACAGCTCGTTAGCTGTTTGCAGTGAAACTGATGAGACAAAACTTGGAAATATTGGACTCAAAATGTGCTCCAAGAAATGATGCCAAACTAACTTTCTTGTGACCAAACCTTACTTTTTGTTGTGAAGGATGCCGTGTTATTAAGAAGGAAACCAGCTTTAATGTCTTACTGGTTGATTTTAACTGTAAAAACTGCAATAGGCCATGTGAAGTAAAAGCCACATTACTATTCTTGTCATTGCTAATTGAGCGTTTACTGCAAATGGTTTCAGACTCAGCTCATTACATATTGTTCAGCTTGTGATGCTTGAAGAGCTCTGACAACATTTTTGCTCGTGATAATTGTGTTGATTTGTAGTAACGATTAATATTGCAGTTTAAAGTATATAAAAAAAAAAGAAGTAGAATAAAAATGCACAAAAACAACACAGAACATTAAATTGAAACAGGACACCCCTGATGAATGATGTTAAAACCAATTATTATTTTTATTTTAGACATCATAAGGCATCTAAATAGTGCTGCAAAAACAGAATGATCTACCAAGTACAGTTGCTCTGTCTGTGTTTTTGTGCTACATGCCGAGATGTGGCTGTTGAATATATTGACTCCCATATGAGGTTCAGACTGGAGACATTGTAATCATAATAAACCTGTTCGATTTTTATGACTGGGGTTAAGTTATCTGAGCTGAGGTAATTAAGCAAATCTAGACAAATATGTCCATAAGTATTCTAATGGGTCTGTACATTTCACTCACAGGGAACATATACTCACAGTAAAAACCCAGACAGATCCCCCCTAAACATACCCCACTCACTCTCTCCGTCCTCCAGCTGATGCAGCAGCAGGCTCTGGTGGCGCAGTCGGCCTACCTCTCTCCTGTTGCCACGGTGGCGGCGGTTCAGATGCAGCAGCTCGCCGCCCTCAACCCCAGCAGCATCATTGCCACGCCGATCGCATCCATCACCCCCTCCTCAGGTAATGAGAGGCCGAGATGTCTGGCCCCGGCTGGCCTTGATTAGATTTCTGCTTGAAATATGAGAACTGACGCACCAGGAGAGGTGGACCTAAGAGGACTTAATAACAAACATCTATTTTTGGAGATTTTCTTTATTTTCTTTCTGTCTGTCTTGATGTTAGCTGCGTTAGCGTTTACATTATGAAAGGTAAGACGGTAGAGTGGCGAGCGAGTCAGAGTTCCTGTTTGTTTTTTAGTCTTTTTTTCCTTAATTAAGAATCCCTTGCCTTCGATTTAAAAGAGCTTCAATCAGTTTGTAAATAATCTTGGCAATGCTCTCTGGTGGATTTAGATTCTGCCTAGTTTGCATATGAATAATGCAGATTCCTGTTTTCAGCTTACATGCAATACAGTGGACCCTAACTCATATGTCAGCTTCAACATTTGGTTCAAATTAGCTTTTCGATTTCAATGCACTGCACTGATATTCTACAACATCTTTCCTCATAAAAAATGACAAACTCATTTCAAAATTCCTCAAGCCTTAAGTTTCTTTTTTACCTGGTGAATATTCTTTGTTAGTCTGGCCCCTCTCCCCCCACAAAAGGACCCGCACCCTGAAACAATAACTGTAAACTAATGAAACTGTAAACAACGAATGCACAGACATTCATGTTCCCCTCAGGATAAACTGAAATAACTTTGGTGATGGCTTCACTTTTCATGCCGTGCTTTCATCACCTAAAAAATGTACTTTGCCAAATTCTCTGATTTACGATCACATGGCTGCAAAATTAATGAGATTCTCATCTGCCCTATTTGTAAAATGTGTTTAGGGCCAATCAGCATTTTTTATATATTATAAACTAAGACAGTGTTCATAGTAGCCTGTACTTGATGTTCTTGTACGCATACACAATATTATTTCTTATGGTGGCTACTCATTACTAAATATTTTGTGTCGCTGAGATATTTAGTAACTCGCAGAGTTCTTTATTATGGTACCTGTGTGCATCATAAAAAGTGTTCCACAATAGAGGTTTAAAATAAGCATATAAGCATTTTTACTGTGAGCATTTTAGCATGCTGATGCTAAGCTAAAGCACTAATTTGAGAAAGTCTAATCTGACTTTAGAATTGTACTAATCCTGTTAAAAAAGGGGGGGGAAAATCCAAATCCATAAATAGAAACTTAGTATTCTGTTAACAGATTACTTTGTCTTGCTTTAAATTTTGTATCAAGTCAAAACAATTCATATTAAACATGCCTGCAGGTACCAGCACTCCACCCTCAATGACCGCCACACCTGTTCCTGCTCTGCCTCCACCCCTCACAGTGAACAGCTACCAATCCGTGCAAGCTCCACCCAACAGCCAATCAGCAACCGAAGCCCTGTACACCAACGGAGTTCATGCCTATCAAGGTAAAGCCCTAACATGTTTGACTACAGAGTGAAGAATAACTGTGACTGTCATCAAATATTCCTCACAGAGTCTTCCTGTTTTTTTTTCATTTGCAACAACAATAGTTTAATTAAGAGGAAATGAAATGAAACCAAAGCACTAAATGTTATTTAGAGCGTGCTGATCTGCCCCAAATAGCATTTAGGATTTCTTTTGAGTGTCCATATAGCAGTTAGTGATGGTGTGTTTACTCTGCCACAGCTCAGAGTCCAGTCCTGGACCCCCTGCAGCAAGCTTATGCGGGCATGCAGCACTATACAGGTGAGCCTCCCAGTGTACAGTATTATTACACATGTTCAATATATCACCATTTATTTATGAAAATGTCAGAGATGTTCTTGTCCTGCTGCTGCTACTGATGATAAGCTTCATATGTGATGTGAAGTGTTGATGTTTGAGGAAGAAAAGAGTAAACGATTAAAGATGAGCATGCAAACAAATAATCTCACAAATATTCCTTTTTGCTCAACTTTATTTATGAATCAACTTTCAGCCCAAACATACACACACACACATACTGTAGGAAGACACAAACAGAAAATGATGAAAATAATTGACATTAAGAGAAAGAAAATGTCAGAAGAAAATTATTTCAGATTTGTTAAAGGTTAAATTAAAAGACAAAATACTCGCCAGGGACAAAGATATTGTCAAATCAGTGATTAATCACTTGGACTTGGAAAGGCCAGATTAAAAAGATAGTTAATGTCCTCAACATTATACATCATATTTGACCACTAAATGTCAGATTTTTAAGTGTTTGTTCCTAAAAGTAACCTTCCTATTTGTAAATCCAGAATACAAAACAGTGTTATGTAATAGAACAGCATGCAGCTGCATTACTTTACACTCCCCTGCTTTCTGACTCTGCATGTTTAAAGTACAAATTTACATCCAAAATCAAAACGTACACATATAGAACAAAATGTAAATAACCCGCAGTTCCATAGAATGAGTCACACATCGCATATATATGCAAAACTTCCTCCAGTTTTAGAGCAAATCTGTAGGTGGAGATGCAGCTCTGTCAGATGATGTTTTCAGGAAATATATCTGATTAGTTTCCAGACTCACTCCTGCTCTCTGCTTACCCCCCCCCCCTTCCATCAGCCACCTATCCAGCTGCGTACAGCCTGGTGGGACAGCCGTTTCCCCACCAGCCAACCCTGGTGGCCCAGCAGCCTCAGCAGCCACAGCAACTCCAGCAACGAGAAGGTAGACTCAAGAGACCTCACTCAGAACGAGGGACACTGTGGCATCAAGATATCTTAGACAAACATTCCTGTGGTCTTGTCTGGTTTGGCTCACTGACCAAAAATCACACAAACACAACCATTTTGCAGATAATTCTGTGTACATATTTGATTGTGTTTTTTTCTACTATTGTAGGTATCTTGGTTTTCATTCATTTCTGTGTGATTTGTTAACGTATTAGCAGATTAAGATACCCTTTAAGATATTTATAGTATTTTCTTTGAGTCATAAGCGACGACTTGGAGTCATTTTCTAAGATGCTAATTTAAAGCTTTTATCTTTCTTGTTCATGGAATAGTTCTACATTTTTGGAAATATTCTTAGGGCTCTTTTGTAAAAAAAAAGTAAAAGAACTCTCAAGCCTGTGTGTCAAATATACAGTAATACTGGAGCTTAGAGACAGTTAGCTCTGCATTGTAAAACACTGGAAAACAAACAGGGTTAAACAGCAATCAGTGCACTGTCAAGAGTCAGAGAAACCTGCCTACCAGCACCTCTAAAGTTTATATATTAGCATTGATAGGCAGATTTTCTAACCTTAAGACTTCGCCAGGCTAGCTGTTTCCTCATGTTTACAATTTGATGCTAAGCTAAGCTAACAAGCTGTGGGTTGTAGTTTCATATTTCCTGTACCAAATTAGGCTGGTTTCAATCTTACTCTCTAACCTGTGCTATCTTGTTTTGTCATGTCTCTATCGCCATGTCTCTACTTGTGTTCAGGTCCTGAGGGCTGTAACATCTTCATCTACCACCTGCCGCAAGAGTTCACCGACTCTGAGATCTTGCAGATGTTCCTGCCCTTTGGAAACGTCATCTCTGCAAAGGTCTTTGTCGACCGTGCCACAAACCAGAGTAAATGCTTTGGTGAGTTTCTGCCACGGCTGTTGTAACCATTGACAGGAAAAAAAGTTATATTTTGCAATTTAAATGTTTGATTTCTTTCATTCTGTCTCCTCCTCCGCAGGTTTTGTCAGCTTTGACAACCCATCCAGCGCCCAGACTGCCATCCAGGCCATGAACGGCTTCCAGATCGGCATGAAGAGGCTGAAGGTGCAGCTGAAGAGGCCCAAGGATGCCAACAGGCCTTACTAAAGGAGGTGAGTTATCATGTATTGACCAGGAGACGGGGAGGGGTTGATAGACAGCTGTAAATGTGTCTGCGAGTTAAAGAGACAGAGTGGATGTAATTGGGGGCTCACTGCTTAAACGGCTGTCTTTCATGTGGATCTGAAGAAGTCAATAACCCTACAGTAAATTAGCTTTAATGAGGTGGCAGCACTCTCAGAATACCATCAATTTTAAATACTGTGTGTAGAAGATATTCCTTCTTTTTTTGTGTGCTCATAATGTAGGGAAAGTTTGATTGAGGAGTGTGTTTTGACTCACTTTAACTGTTATGTCTAACCAGTGTTCTGTCGCAGGGTTGAATGCTAAATACTGTACCTCATTAATTTTTGTTTTGTTTTACTTTTTCATTTTATTGTTTTTGTGCTGTGCCACATGCCATTTATCCTGAAAAAAAAAACATCACATCACTCTCAAGACCGTCCCGTCCATACATATATCGTGGAGATGTGCGTCGCTATGGCTACGGTTGCCTAGCAACCGCTAAAACCTCCCCCCTTCCTTCTCACTGCGTTGTAAGTTAATTGGCCTGTGTTGGTTGCTGTGGCGATATTTGCCTGTGATGGTTGCCATTAGCATTTTTTTTTTTTTGGGCCGTTGCCTTGATTCACCATGCTCAACTGCATGGCGGGTTACTGTGGCGACCATGAACTGTGTTTGGTGCGTTGTGAGTTTCCTCTTATTATTTTGTTCTGGTTTTTAATCCTTGCAAACACTGATCAATAACTGTCACTTTACCTCAGCATCTGTAAGTAATTGATTATCATGACATGCTGTTAAAGCCTTAAGTCCTTAAGTTAAAGTCTTAAAGCCTCAAAGCTAAGCTAAATTAGCCTGCTGTCCATCGAATACATGGATACATTAGGATTTTTTTTTTCTTAAGACTTTTTGGTTTTTGATTAGTTTATTTTTTTGTTGTCTGTCATGATTATCATTCTTACACATAACTCCCTCTGTTTAGTTGGTTGGTGTGGTAGTTTCGGTGAGTGCGGGGTTTTTGTTTGGTTGTAACTCAATTCCAAGTGACTTTGTGTCTGAACTTTGTTTGGTTTTTGTGAGACTGAAAATGTACTGAACATGCCCCCTTTAATGATTTAAAACATGTGTGTGTGTGTGTGTGTGTGTGTGTGTGTGTGTGTGTGTGTGTGTGTGTGTGTGTGTGAGACTAGCAGAGGTTGAATACATTTATATCTCTGTGTGGAGTGTGTTATTTAAAATAGATGTAAAACTATCAATGTGTAAGTGAATGTGTGTGTTGTTGTACCAACTGAGACACTAACTTTACTAGGGAAGGTTTTGGGTAAAGCTGTTTGGTTCCTGTGACACGTGCTGCTGGCTGAGGAACTGCATTCCTCTGTAGGAATTCTGGGACTCCAAAAACACGATAACCAAATTAATTTGCATAGCAATTAAATTATAAATCTTGTATTAATGACAATCATAACACACAAAATGTGTGGCATGCACAGGGCATCTGCTGGGCAGAGAACAAGCTGCAAAATATCTTCTTTTTTTTAAACAAATGAAAGCTTGTAGATGAAATGCTTTCTAATAGAAAGTGTGTTTTAATATTAAATGTAATATTTAAGGCTTAAATGTATTTCCACCTCCGAACTAACAACCAAAACCTTAAACTCTGCTCAAAATAATGAATAAATCTTATTAAATATTAACCCCTTCACATACACCTGGGTGTATAAATATCTCAAGTTATATAAACGTTGTATTTTTGTGCTCAAAGTGATTTTAATTTTGCACTTTTCAATATAAATTTCTTGTTTTAGTTTAAAAATGTAAATTAAAAACAATGAAATGGGTCTGAACAAAATGTAGGTTTACTTTATATTAACTGCTTAAGTTTTTTTTAAATATTGTCAACATTAATAAAGGTCAGGAGATCAACATTGAGTGCTCTCACAAAAGGTTACTCTTACATTAAGATAAACTGGCTTTAAAAAAAAGGTCCTATGACAGTTTAATCTGGAACCTGCAGATGCCCTCTTTGCAGCAGCTCACCTTAACAAATAAAACATTATGGAGTAATACTACAGTTTTGTGAATGGCATGCTGAATGTCATAAAAATAAATGTAGAATTACCTCCAAACTGTTTCTTTATAATACAAAAAATTGGAGAGTTTATCCTCACCAGCATTCCTACTGTGCATGTTCTGAATTAATTTGCCTGCCAAAAGAGATGACAGACTATTTTTCTGAGAACGTGCATACAATTGCAGCAGTATGACTGTCACTATTTGAGTTGCATGGACACCAGTTGATTTCTGAGACTCCCCTGAGGCATCCGTGCAAGCAGTGTGTATTGCAGACACCACTCCACTTCCAAAGTCTTGACATATGTGTGTTTCATTGATGTGATTCGGTTTAAAATACTCTTCATGTTCTTTTTTTTTTTCTCTCTTTTTCTTCACCTCTAGGAAAAAAACCTAAGAGTTCAATCAAGAAAAACCACTTGGGATGTCCCAGCCTTTTTTGGTTGTTTGACCAACCGTATAGCACAGGAGCAACACTTCACAAAAAGCAGTATCACGTTCATGCGCTTGCAAAACGCAACCACGACAGCAGTAATATCAGCAACAAATAACTTCAACTGAGTCAGCATCCGCAGTATCAGAAGTGCTCCAGATTTCCTATCATTCCACAGCTGGATTCATTTATATAATGTACATACTCTACAAGATCTACATGTTAAGAAAAAGCATATCACTGATGTTATTCTACTGAACAGGGTTTACTGTATAGTGTGATTTTGTGGTCCATGGCGTCAACAGAAAGCCAGTGTGCACAGTCAGAGGCAAAAGAAAATACTATTCTGTATGATTACCATTGGTAATATTGTTATGTAGAGTTAGTTTTATTATTTATACGTAAATTAAAAAACATGGGGTAATGAAACTGAAAGAGAAATGGATTTCCTCTCACTGTACATACCTTGGTTTGAAACAGACTTCAATTAAAAGTTCTCTGCTGCCACTACTTTTCAAATTAACATAGCGGAAGGAAGGGCTGGGAATTTTTCTATCTTGATTTTTTACGTTTAATTTATTTGGTAATCAATTTGATTAGAAGGGGGGTGGGGGATGTGAGGATTTCTTTTTTAATTTAAGAAAAAAAAAGAAGAGGATTCCTGTGGTCTTCAAGACAATGAACACACTTATAGAGTTTTTAATTACATAAATGTAACTATGGAAGTAAAAAAAAAAACATGTTTCTTTATTTATTCTCTACAATCACTGTTTTAAAACATATGTCTTTAAAAGAAAATAAAGTACGGTTTAGAAAAAAAAATGGTGTCCGCTTTTCGTCATATAATGTATCTATTCATGGGAACTTTTTTCATCATCACAAATTAAATTCAACTCTTGAATAAGAGTTATATTTCCATTAACACACAGCAGAACAGACAAAGGTTGTTAGTTTGGGTGTTTCAGGGGAGTTTGCTGCCCTCTATAGGCCTGAAGAAGTAGTAAGGAAAGTGGGAAAACATCTGGCCTCCATTCTTTCATTTCAACCTGTAGACCAAACTAAGCAAGACTTAGATGAAGAAAATGATTCAAGTATTTGTGTGTTTTTTTATTGGGGCTGCATGAATGAATGTCCAATGATCAATAGAAAATATTATGAAGCATGTACATAAGCTCCATTATTTTCGCATTATCATGGTTAATCATTAATAATCTGTAATCCTGATAAATCATTATTCATTTTACCTAAGCAAGCACCATGACTTTTTGATGACATTGCATGCATAAATATTCAGCTCAGATTTGAAGATGATGGAAAAGCTGAGGTGTATGTAACCACAGCTGGGATGTGTCTGCATTTTCGTGCTGGTCTGATGCGTCCAAACACGCCTTGGCCCTCTTTGGCATGCCTGGAGGTATGCAGGGTGATTAGTGCTACATAAGAAGAAAAGACGAAGAAGAAAATCAATCTTTTATGATACCAAGTCATTATTCTGTTAACACTGTTGCAACAATTCAGGGGGTGACAAATGACTCTAGGAAACTACAAATCTACAAATGTTTGGGAATCAAATGTAGTATGTGTTGATCTAATGCCTACATTTTGACTTGTGACACTGGGAAATACCAAGCAGAAGCAGAGGTGCTGCATGCAGGTTAGGCAGTCAACTGCTTGGGCACCAGGCAACTTTCCCCTAAGGGCTGAAAAACTTTCAACCAAAGCAGTGGCTCAGAATGTGCAAAGTTTAATGACAGTGGGAAATCTCCTTTGGGCACACCATCTAACAGTACTGCTGCCAATCATTGCATTTTTAGTCCTTTGAAAACCTAGTTTGTCAATGAAGGAAGACAAGGGAAAATTAAGAGGAATTATCCACCTGAGGTTGAAAAAAGAAAGCAAGACATTGGTAAGTGGAGCAGATAGTAATGATTAGATATAACAGTTAATTACTATACTGTTTTTTGAAGTTACTCAAAGATTGAAGTTTTTATTCTACTTTTTTCTTCAAATTTATATTTTGAAAATAATAGCCTACTAATGGGAACATCGGAATTTAAAAAATGCTTGTTGGCCCTGTATTATTTCTTTGGGCCTCAACAGACTATAATTGCCACTGAGCAAAAGTGCAGGTGCCCAGTGAAGAAAATGGGGCAAAGAACTTCTATAGCATCCCTCCAGTGAAGAAAACAGGATAAATTACCATTAAGGGTGCCAAAAGCAGAGTGTGTGATGTAGTTAATTTGTAGTGCCCTATATACAGTGGAGGAAATGTAATCCGTTGAGAAAGACTTCCGTTAAACGCAAAAACAAAATTAAAGGGGAATTGTATCGCCCCCATGTACAGGATGAGTCAACAACATTGTTTAATGTTTATGACAAACTTTACAATATTGTTAAGAATGCCTTAAAACGGTGAGAACATGCCACAATATGTCAGTTATAATGAGTGATATAAAAACAACTAATGATCAAGTTTGATTTCATGGGAACTTTAATAGTTCTCTCTTTATTAGGCTACATATGGCTGTTTTACTTTTAAAATAGGTCATGTAAATGACTAAAGTATAAATACATAAATAAATAAATAAATGTTGGGAAAAATGCATACAATAATATATCAATGAATAAATAATAAATACAGTTTGTTAATGAAAAAGGCTATTTATATATTTTATATGTATTTATTCATTTATTAGCGTATTTCTACAGTTATATATGTATCAATGCATACATTTCCACATGAATTGAGTTATTAATTTTTTTTCCGTACTTTTACATTTACACATCTATTTATTTCTGTGTCCAGGTCATAAGAGGAAAAGTATATATAAATTTGCTTCTGTCTGTTTTTCAAAATTGACCAATCCTACTTCAGTAATGTTAGAGCGGCCCACTTAATTTACATATTTACTTTTCCTTGTACAACATGGACACAGAAATACATAAATAAATATATGAATATATTTATTTATATATTAATTTTTACATGAATTGTTGCATTTATTTATATATATATTTATTTATATATGTATTGATGCATTTATTTAATTATTTATTTATTTATACATTATTGTATGCATTTCTCCCAACATTCATTTATTTATTTATTTATTTATACTTTAGTCATTTTTTTGTCCCTCATATAGTCCAACACTGAAAACCCTAATATTTACCTCTGAAATGTATTGGAAAGGATGTATAAAGTTTATTTGAATGGAAATAAGGTATTGCCCTCCTGTGGCACTAAGCACTCCTCATACAAGGAAGAGGCGCATGTCACTTTAAATAGTCTGCTCCCCCGCCAGCTCCACTTTTAACATACTACCATATTATCCACTACATCCGTCCAATTGAATTACCCGGCTGCAGACCAACAAGCCGAGGTCTGCTTTGATAACTAAACTCAGTCGGAAAGGGAAAAAACGTAACATATGTTTTTATCCTCGTAAAGTAGGAGTTTTTGCGAGAAAGTGCGACACAGGTTTTTCCTCCCGAGAATGTGTCGAAACCGTGGTTAACTAGAGAAAACGATCAACAAGTTGCGAGTCCCTTCGATGGAGAGAACTACATGAAATCCCCTGAACTTCAACACGCAGAGGACAAGCAGCCGTACAGAGAGCGTTTAGAGACGACGCTACTTCCCCGCACACACACACAGTGAAAGAGAAGGTAAGTTACCGTTAAGTTATGATGCGTTCACGTCTGTTAGCTACGTTTGTAAAAACCACTGTTCGGACTCCGTTAGAGCCGTAAATGAAGGACTTCTCTCCGGGAAGACGCATTGGGCTGTTATTTTTAGACATAAATGTGAACCTTATCCTCTCATGGGGATTTATGTGAAGTTTTATCCGCGGGATAGGCTTTAAACTCTGTACTTTAAACTCTCACTGGAGCTAACAGGCCTCGTCCTGGTGTCGCTGATGTTTGTTTAGCAGCTCCGCGATGTGAGAGTTTGGTAATTAAAAACAACAAGAATAGACAACAAGGCACAACAATCGCTTGTAAAAAAAAAAAACTAAAAAAAAACAGAAGTGAAAACAAACCGAAAAACGGCCATGTTTACCTGTTACGGAAAAAAAATATGAATGCGTAAAGAAAGTTTTCAAACGTAAATTGGAGTTCGCAAGGGAAAGTTGGCCCTAACACGTCTGATTCATCAAACGTGGAGTTTTGTATCTCTCTGTTATCACACTGAAAATAGATTTAGTAAGTATGGTGTTAGCAAACTTGTTCAAAGCTCCATCTCGCTGTCTGTTCCGCTATGTCCGGGAGACTCCCCGCTTGCGCCATCATGCACTGAGCCACTCCCTGCTGCACTACGCAAACAGCGTACAGAGCTGTGACAGACACTAACTAACTAGATAGATAGATAGATAGATAGATAGATAGATACTTAATTGATCCAGAGGGAAATTCAAAGCATCCAGTAGCAGGTTACAAAGACGTACATGACATGAAACATTTGTTACAAATTAACCACAAAGCCGGACCCCCCCCCCCCCATACATATATATATTAACCTGAAGAACACCCCAAGAATAATCAAACTTAAACTGTGCAATTAAAAATAGACTTATACGAGAAATGTACAAAACCCGTGCAGGGATAAAAATATATCTGTAATTTAAACAAGAACCTATAAACAGTTGAGGTAAAAAATATCTGTAATTAGACCTGAATATAAAAAATAATTTAAAAAAAAAGTGTTGACTGAAGTTGTGTTGTTTATATATGTACAGCAATGTTAAAAAGAAGATAATTATAAAAACAGACATTAAATAACAGGCAATGGAAACATTAAATTAAAGGTGCTATGTAAGTAATTGAGGTGATCTAGTGTCCAACTAGAGGCTGACTCTTGGGACAGCTGTGCAGATGGTAAGTGGAAAAAGGAAGATTTAGTCCAAGTGTGTGCTTTCCCCCTGCCGTAACCGTGAGGTGTTTTACAGACGTATGGCCAGGGGGACAAAAGAGTTCTTAAGTCTGTCTGTGGATACTACAAAACCTTTGACCTCTATCCTAATGTTGAAATGAGACAGTGGCCTCGTCAGTTATCATGGAGGAACCAGGAGTGCCTGACTTCATTTTCTCACATAAATTTGAGGCATTGTTTTGTCTTCGTATGTTCTTTACACACATCAACATCACTAACTTATTAGATTGTCTTTGCAGTGTGAAGTGAACAACATTCATCAGCCTCTTTCCTTCAAGGTGTACATTCACATAAAGTCCTGAGCAGTACTACTTGGCTCTAATGGTGTCATCAAAGTTATCATGGCCTGGGCTTGAGCCTTTAACAGTTAAATAGTGCCTCAGGGAGTTTTCTTGGAAACAAACATAAGCTATATTTACCTTAAGTCTTACTCACTAAACCCGCTGCTTGCCAGGCCTCGGCCCTTTGAATCATGCTTTGTTTGCAGTGTCTACTAGTTTGCAGTGTTTTATTTCTTCTCAGCCCTTTTTGCACATAACTCCCATTTGTGTACACTGATGGAATGACATTAAGTTATTATCAGAATATAGTCGGCCCTGTGCTTGTGCATGTAGTCAAACACTAAACATGTTGACCTTTTAGAAAAAGTCTTGTAAACTGGAGGTGTGGTAGTAACAATGCAGGCGGTGTATTACAGGAAGTAATCGTGTGTTTTTGGAGTCTAATCCACATTATGGACCTTGGGTCTGGAAATGTCAGTCTCTGCTGCACAGAGTTTGATCGTCTTATTTGTTTTATTGAAGTGCAATACAGAATCACTGGTTTATCACTTTATACCTTCAAAAGAATAGACCCGTAACCTTATAAAGAGCAGAGGAA